GACAAACATAATTAGGATATAATATGGCTTATAATTATTTATTCCAATATTTTGTTTTTACTCTTCATTATAGTCTCATACATATTTTTCACCTGAGAAGTAAAATTAATATTCTTTACAATATATTGAAGATGCATAGTTTTTTGTCACGCTTGATTCACAGTTTTTAATAATTTTTGTTCATTGAAATCAGAAATAGAATTATTTCATGGCAATTTGATTTTTTCACTCACAAATAGGATTTAAATAATAAAATTAATAATAATCTATATATTCATTTGGTATTTTGTTTTAGAAAGTGAACAATTTTGAAATTAAACATTAAATAAAACATTTCAAGAAGTACCAGAAATGCTTTAGTATAATCTTGATTGGTAGCAATTTTCTTAAATATGTTTTAATATAATGTAGAGATGGATATTGGTTGCCAAAATAAGTAAATATTTTTTATCTTACATTTTTAATTTATATGAAATTTTTTCAACTCAAACATTTACATGTAGGATTAATGTTTTGTTTGGTATATATTAAATTAATTTATATTGGAATTTTTAAAATGAGGAATTATCATTATATCCTTGGCTGTGCAGACTATCATAATCATCTTGGTTGATATATTCACAACATTTTTATTTCTCCTTCATGTGTCCATTATTGTACTTGATAATCTCTGAATCTTGAACCAAACACTTTATTCAGTTAATGGGATACATTGTTCTCATTCCACTTTTCATATTTCCTAAGCATGGAAATATTTATTTTATATCAGTTAATACTCACCAGGCTTATTCACCAGAATAGGTGACTTTTCAGCATTTTCAGATTTAGGGATTGAACTCATACTGCTGTAGCCTTGTGGAGCAAAGCATTGATTAAAACCTGTTTGGTTCCTGGTTGAATCTCTGGATCTGGTAATTTTGAAAAGTCATCTAGTTTGGTTCAGTAGAAGAAACAAACAAGCAATACAAAGATGAATAAGTCCAGTGAGTGTTAACTAATGTGAAATATCCACTAAGCATAGAAAGTGGAATGAAAACATTCTATCCCTGTGGAATGTATAAAAGATTAGGTCCAAAATTATGAGAAAGTTGCTAATTATGACAAAAGACACCTGAAGATGGCCAAAAGGTACAATGGCTGAAATGCTGTGAATATGATAAGATGAGAATGCTGGTCAAGATAATAAAGACTGTTATAATTTTATTGGAATATACAGATTGAATTTTATGCTTGTCACTGAGAAAGAAAACTTGTTTACTACTTATTTCTCTAAGTAAATATGGTTTCTCTGTTGATTTGGAATCAGAATTCTAAAGAACCAGTTATTTACATCCCAGGTTCATGTGAACAATCTTCTAATTGGAAAATTTATAACACGACACAATATCAAAACATACCTTTCTCATTTCAATTATCAATCTTGTTTTTTCTTCAAGTTATGAAATTAAAAATGCAAAAAATCTTCATTCAATTTATTGTTGTTATAAAATAGATTCTGTTTTTTGGTTTTACATAACTTCTAGAAAAACAAACCAAATAATTCAACAAGAAGGATTTGAAAGTAAAGAAGCAAAACAGATTCTGATAAATTTATTTTAGTGGTAGTATTGACTAAAAAGTAGACAAACAATTTTTTAGCAAATGAGGTAGGTGGTTGCAGTGTAAGTCATGGAAAACATTAGAAATTGAATGTGAAAAGTAAAACTTTGCCTACTGTGATTTTTAATGTAGGGCATAATTGTATTAGGATCATTTGTTTTCTAATATCCAAATATAGCCATAAGGATTTTTTTTTTAGATAAGATTTTTTTTGCCCACATTTGAAAAAACTAAGACAAAACATCCTTAGACAGTGCTTCTAAGTATTGTTTGCCAAAAACTAATAATTGCCCATTTCTGGAATATTCATAAAAATTCCATCATTTTTGTTGTAATTTTGAGTTTAATGTTTATATTTGTGAAATTACCTAAATATTTTTTAAATTATTGTTTGAATATTAAAAAGAAACTTTTTGCAATATGATATCATTCATAGAGTGACCACTGCCAGAACAGAATGTAGTGGGAAAGCAATAATAAAAATATGTGTCAAAATTAAAATACAACAAATTTTACTGCCAGAATTTTTTTATATTCATTTTTTCTTACCTACATGAAACTGTTTAATATGTTTAATACTTAACACATGAATTATTGATAAATGATGCTATTAACTGAATATTGAAAACTCAGTTGTAACCAGTTTGTTATTATCTAAGTTAACATGCTAAAATAATTATTTTAAGAAGCTATCTGTACAATAATAATATAATTAAGAAATACTCTTTCCTTTTCTAAACTATATAAATAAGAACATTCAGTTTTCATTAAAGATTGATTCTAAATTTTCTATTATTTTGTAAGAGTTAAATGTTATAAGGTCCGATTTCAAACATTATTTCTAGAAAATGAACAACTAGACTATAAAGCTTAAATGATAAATGACTTTTTATTTAGATAATGTTAAGAGTCTTTATCAATGATTGGTGTTATGAAGTCTTGATTTTCTCACCATAAAGATTTTGTCTTCAGATTCAAGTGAATATATAAAAGAAAAGAAATTCTGGATTTTTTTTTAAAACTATAAAATTTATGTCAAGCTTTTTAATTTCAATTTCTTTAGCATTAAACAAACAAAATGTCTATTCAGTGTCTTCTGACATTTATTCCTTTATTCTGTAGAAATTCTTAAATAAATTTATTGGAAATCAGATTCTTATCGCAGAATAATTTTTCTGTTGAAAATTTGAAGACAATGTGCTGGTATTATTGTTTTTTCTTGGTTTATATGATTAAGCTCCATTAAAAAAAATTATTTCTCTTTTCCAATAACCATTTTTTATATAAGTAACTTTCTTTATTCTCTGCTATCACAATTTCTTTTTATGTTTTATGTCATTGCCCTACCAATCCTAGAAAAGGGAAATATTTCCGACTTTACTCATCACAGATTTTACAATTACAAGGCTAATAACTAAAAACTGAGGAATGGTAGATGTCTTGTAGAGTAGTGGAACTAGTTGTTCAAGTCAAGTGACTATAGTTACTGGGTAACACATATTTGCAAACCTTGTGCCAGTCTAAGCTAACCTGGTAAATATGAAGAATGATCAGTTTTAAGTCAAAGTTTCTTTTTTCTGCTTGAAAAATTATAATCCTCTAATTAATGTTAAAATTTTAAAATTAGTTTCTGAGTAAAAATATTTTCTAGAATTTTAAGGAATGTCTTGGAAATAAATATTTTTTCTCATTTCTAATTTTTTTTATCTACAATGACAAATCTGAAACTGATTTTTTATCATCTATATTTGTAAATAGATCTGATGTTACTCATTGAAAAATTATATATTCAACTATTAAAATCATAAAATTGCATTTTAAAACTTAATACAGATATTGATTTTATGTTTTTATTTTAACTTCTAACTTTATTGAAAATTATTTTGTAAGAAATAAACTATCAATTTGTCAGTGACTACATTCATATCTTATTTTAGGTAAATAAATATGTTTTTAAAATTGGGAAAGAAAGCAATGGGGAATAATATGTTATTATTATAGAAATCTTTTTTTATAGTATAAATTGTTACTGTCAAAAGTTGAACATTTTAACCAAGATTGTTAAAGAAATGGTAAGAATGTGTCATGTGTTAAACTGCAAAGGAAAAGGTCAAATGTATCATAATTTTTGGATCAAGAGTCAATAAAAATTAAATTTGAGTGTACATATCTAGGCCTATCATAGCATCGTGAAGTAAAAATAAATTACTCATCTGTGAGTGATGATAATATCCTACAATATATAAAAGCCAAGATAACAAACACATCAAATTTGGTGGCTGGCCCGAATGTATTTTGAAATAAAAAAAAAAAAAAATGGATTTTCCACTTTCCAATATTAATTTGAATCAATAAAACTGTTTTGTTTTATTGTAGTAATCATTAAAAATGATGTAATACCTATGGAGTAGAATAAAAAAAATTGAAATGAAACTCCCAAAATGGAGTTTCTGTTTTCTACAATATTTAATTACAATGGATGAGTTTTATTTATGTCCTGACCTGATCCTACATAGATAGTCAGCAATATCTTGTAAGAAATTGTTGAATGAATTTGGTTATGATTCTAATGTACGCATATAAGAAAGACATTTGGAAAAAAAAAAGTCAAACATTTAAAAGCATTGTTAAACAAACATGGAGAATAATTTCCCAGAATCATTAAAAATTAGGTCATAACTCATGTATAAAAATGAGTCACTGAATAATGGATGCATAAAAACAATTCTTGCAAAAGCATTTTTGTTACAAACAAATGCTTCTGGGTTTCTTGGTTTTGGGGAAGTCAAAGGAAATTTACTTCTTTTTGTCTTTTGAGTAAAGAAAAGAAACCAGTTTTTGACTTTTGGAGTCATAAAATTGTGAAAAAAAAAAAAAAAAAAATTCCAAACAAGAAAATCTCCCATTTAAATGGATTTTGTAAGCTTTTTTTCTTGTTTTAGTTAAATTTATCCCATTGGAATCAAAGAAAAATTCTCCCCCATCAGAATAGATCCCTAATTTCTTTTTTAAATTGTCTTTTTATGGACTGATCAAGAAGTGACATATATGTGAAGTGTGTATATGTATTGAACAAAAGAAAAGAAAAAATGAAAAGAAAAAAGAAAAAAAAAAAAAAAAAAAAAAAAAAAAAAAAAAAAAAAAAAAAAAAAAAAAAAAAAAAAAAGAAAAAAAAGAAAAAGGAAAAAAAAGAAAAAGAAAAAAAAAACAAAAGAAGCAAACTTATGTATACTCCAGCTCAGTTATTTTTTCTTTGCACCAGTCATTTTAAGAACAAATTTTTCTGATGACTTTCAAAGCCAGAACTGACTCAACCATTATTATTCACACATGCAAACAGATCATGTTCATATCAACTATTACAAGACTTTTCAGTTCTTCTGTAGTTGATTTAAAACTGGTTAGGATTTTATTTTGGGGTCTATATCACCCAAATCTGGTTCATTTACTGAGAGAAACTCCTTGGTTCCATGTTCTTCTTCAAATATATACACCTGCAAAAATAAAAGGACCAGTTAAGAGATCAAATTCATATAAAATTATTAAAAGCTGTATGAAATCTTTTAAAATTTGTTATAAATTAATTCTGTTCTTCACTTGTGCCATGATCTTTTTGTACTTGTGTTCTGATTTGCTAAGTGCTAAAGTAAAAATATCTATGGATGAAAAGTTGTAATTTAGAATCTTAACACAGATGATCGGACAAAAAATGAATTTTGATAACTCATCTTAAAATTAAGGATAATTTATTCATATTTATTACTAAAGTTAGCATTGTTTAATATCAATAACTAGTAGGTGACACTTTGAGGAATTGTATGTTAACAGATTGTAAATTTCTTACTTTTCTTTATGCAATAGAAAGTAGTAAGACTGGCTTGATTTTTTGAAATCAAGAAGAGATTTTGATTTGATCACATCCCATAACAACATTTTATATGTATAATACCATGGTTAGATTTAATGATATAATTTTGATGTTTTGTTTATTCTAAACTGTAGAACTCATGTACAACAAATTAACTTATTCAACACAGCATAGTTTCATCCGATATGAGCAGAGATCATACACACTATAAAGATTAACTGGGGTACCAAATGTTATCCAAGAAATAAATAATGAAGACTTAAAGATTATTGACTAAATTGTAAATTATATTTGATAAACAATAGAATTCTAACAAAATCCAAAAAGAGATTTTATTTTAAAAATGATTCTGTATAGACACCATTAGCCAATCTTCCCTGTTGAGCTAAGAATAAACTGGTTTGTTGGGAGATTCTACTTCTGAAAAATTTATATAAGACTGACCATTAGAGAATCATAGGGACATGACAACACAAACTCGTACATAAAGACGTGATATTTGAGAAACAATGAAAATGACGTAGCACACACAAAAACTCTTTTGGTTAAAGCCCAAAGTACTCAAACATTGGATAATTTATATTTACGCTTTCACTGGAAACCAAGAAAAAGATCCAAGTTTTTTTTTCAATGATGTTCATCTTGTACAAGGATCAAGAGCTACTCGAGGTAGAGGATTAGAGAGTAAGAAACAGTTTATGGGGATACATAGGGAAGGTAATGTTATTAACCTTAGATTTGAACAGGTTAAGATTGTAGTGATCAGGGAAGTATCCTCTTGGGAGTCGGTTCCACAAAACAATGGTTCATGGGAAGAAACTGCTACAGTGGAATTTGCACCTCACCAATGGAATATGAAGGGAATGAGGGTGGTTCACTACATGGCGGGTCTTAACTGTGAAGGTTAGAATTGGTGGAACTAAAGAATATTGGTCTGAACATTTTCCATGGAAATAGTGATAGAATAGTTTGAGTCTTGTGACATTTCATCTGTGGGAAACGGTTTGTATGGTGGAAAATAATACCTTAAAGAACTTTCATTGATCTTTAAACAAAATTGTGTAAAAATTGCTGCTTTAATATAGGGTGTAATTTGGGCAACAATGACTGTGTGTGTGTGTGTGTGTGTGTGTGTGTGTAATAGATATATTCTGTACCAGAGAGTCATTATCAGTCTGATTAAGGTTGGGAAACTAGATTGAACATATTCAGGAAAAGGATACCAACAGCCTCACCCACTGACCCATGGCCCATCTCATTCTTGATAGTGCCATCCTGGGAGAGACCACCAACATCCCAAGGAAAAGTTAGTTTTAGTGCCTTATAGAGGTAGGGCCGAAAAAAAAAGTGGGAACCTCCCTGAACAGAACTGTTTTAACTTTCAGATGTCTTGTCAAAAATGGTGATGGGATTGGTGTGACATATTAAATGATTTTATGGCCTCCTCAACCATACCCTACAACTGCCACGTTCCCGCCCCAGTTCAAATGATGGTCAGAACATGCTGCACCTCAGGAAAGTCTGATGGAACCTCAAAATCTTTGTTTTATGGACAACAGGTATCTGAGTTCTTTGATTTGTTTGCCATAACTTTTGGCTCTTTCAGCCTGGGATGGTGAAATGTGACAGATATCCTCCCCTGGGGTGTATTGCAGGCTATTTTGCTTTTTCTTCCTTTCCATCACCTCTGCTGATTGATTTCTCTGATGTTTTGGAGGAGGCATTTCAGGATGTTTTTTAGGGGGAGAAGGACCTGGGAGTAAGACGTGGGGTGTGCAATGAAATTTTCCTGAAGAGGCTAGGATTTCTACTGAGGAGGATAATTTTACACAAGTGACGAACACATGGGTGATGATTTTGTGACATTTTTTGAAACAAGGGAAGACAGGGTAGAGGTTGAGGAAGGAGCTCCCTTTGTAGGAGAAGTCTTCCTATTGGCTTCATGCTTGGCAGGAAACTGGCATGCCCATTACAGGCAAGGCGGAACTTAAAGACATGGTCATAGGGGGATTTTGGTCGACTGGGGCCTGACTCTGGCCAGGAAGAGGAGAGGTAATACCAACTTCTCCACATTTCTAACTTGTTGGTTTTCAGCTGGTCACAATGACCAGCAACTTCTGGCCCCTACTTCCAGAAATTTGGGGATGGAGTAGAACGCTTTGCAATCCAACAATATTTCAAAACTCCAGCCACGATTCAGGATATCGCAAGAGGCACCCAGTATGCAAAAAGATAATCTGAGGAGGGACCTTGAATATTGCCATGATGCTCCTATGTCTGCCTTCATATTCAGTCTGAAGGATTAGATCATTTGTGATTAAATCATGACATGATACTTTAACACAGTCTTCAGACGTGTGCAGTAATATGTCCCTTATGAAGTAGCCTGCACCCTTAACAATTCTTTGGGGCTTACCCTCCAGGGATTCCAGTGATTTTATCACTGTCTTTTCATGGAGTGACAAAATTTGCGTGAGTGCTTGTCCACTACAAAGACTGACACTATTCATTTCTCAATCTTCTTTAGCTCTTGGGGTCTTTCAAGAGTCCACCTTCAAACACAAGGTGTGTGTAACTGTTAGCACACTCCAAAAACTTTGCTATATTGATAATGTATTGCAGGGGTGGGGGGAGACTTCCAGCAACAGGGCAATTCCTTGCTCTCTGCATTGTCACTCAGATGAGTGACAATGCAGAGACCAAGGAATTGCCCTGTTGCTTCTTGGTTCTTCGTATTTTGGCCATTATTGGTCTTCATACTTTTTAAGGTTGTCATATCTTGACCATTATTGACCTCCATATTTTTTGGAGTATCTCTTATAACTGGGTACTCCTCAACACAATCAGTGTCGGGTAGGTCTTTTTTTAGGGAAAACAAATGTTTCTTACAATTGCTTTGAGTTGGCCATTTAGAGTTTAAGAGGATAGTTAAAACAAGCAGATTTATAGTTTTTCTTATAAATAGAAAAGAAAGGAAGGGGGTGGAAAGAAAAAGAAATAATTAGCAACAAAAGACAAATAAGCTTAAAAAACAGATTCACCTACAGGCTAGGAAAAATTTGTTTAAACAAGAAATAAAATTTTAAATTAAGCAACAATCAAAAAATTAAACAAAAAGCCGAGGAAAAAATAAAATTTACAGGCTGACAAGAAAAATTCGAAAAGGGCAAATAAATACACAGTTCCAACAATACTATAAAATAAACTAAAAAAACAGTTGTCTGGTAAGACTTACATCTGACTTACATCTGACCAGATGAAAAAAAATACAAAAAGAAACCTAACACCAAAAATAAAACTGGAAATGAAAAAAAAGTTCAGTTACAGACTAAAAACAGTAAACAAAATAAAAAGAACACTAGAAGCTTCTCAAATGGTAATAAAAATGGGAAACTAAATTATGTACTGAACAAAAAACAAGACAAAAACACTTATGTGGTAAGATTTAAGTCAGACCAGAAAAAATGCAAATGGCTGCTGAAGCAGCAAATAAAACAAAAAAAAGGAAAGGTTTACCTACTAAATATTAATCAATTCAAAAAGTCAATTGATTTCTTTAAAAGTTCCTTCAATTAAATAAAATAAAATGCAAATGAACTATACAAAATCAACTGATCGGTAAGACTTACATCCTGGCTGAAAAAAAAAATGCAAATGGAGACCAAAGTCAAGAAGAAATACAAAATAAAAAGGTTAGAAAAATCAAAAGATTGAAAAAAAACAAAACGTAATAAAAGAGAAATTAACAAAAATGCATTTCAAATGTCCAAAGTTCTTTGCTGGAAGAAATGTCCAAAACAAAATTTTTTTCCAAAGCACAAACAAAAACTGTCAAGAAAGATAACTCTAATGAGACTTGTAAACAATAGAAAAATTCATACTGAGGAAAAATTTCAGTAAACTTAAATAATGCCTAAAGGTTAAATCCATTTTGTCAGGAAGGGAGACAAGCTTGCTACTGCTTAGAACACATCCATTAAACTAATATTTTCAGAAATTTGTTAGCCAAGGATGTTGAGTTCAATCCTAGGTAGGACCACAAGAGTCAGCATAGTTAACAACTACTATTAGTTATAGTAATTTTAAAACGTTATATAATGATAAATTATTGTTGAAAACTATATAAACATTGACTTCCTTGAAATAAAATTCATTAAATCTTCAAAAGACAATTTGATTGTTTATTTCACTTATAACATTCAATACATTTATAATAAATAAAAAGTTAAAACGAAAGCTCTGTAAATAGAAAAATTAATCTAACTTACCACATTCACTCCAACTCGTAAAATAGGGGCTGGCACATAAAGAGTCTTTTGAGGTCCAGTGTTCCAGTAACGTCCAAGGTTAAATTTGTTGACAATCACAATCCCTTTAGTCCAACCCTAAAATTGGAAATCAGTTGATATTTTAGCATTTCTCTTTTCTGATGACATAAATTTTACAAAAAATCAGTGATGTTTTTATTTTTTAACCAAACATGAAATCATTTATGTTATTACTTCTGATGAAAATGGATATATGCCTTAAATAAAAATGATAATATGCATGAGAAGGTAAATATTTTTGCCTTAAATTAACAGAATTAAAATGTATGAAGGAATATACTGCTGTATGCATTTTATTATGAATATGAAAACCGGGTGGTGAAAATTCCCAGCTTAATGAAGTAGAGATTTTAAAAATAAATTATACTTTGTCATTGAGCCAGATTTTAGGAGCTGTTTTGTACTGAAATATTTTAGTATCTCTCATATGTCTTAAACCATTTTAAAGGCAAACATTACTGGGCATTGTGTTTTTTTTCAAACTCACTTTTTATAATTGTAATTGAGATTGTGTATTGGGAAAAAGGAAAACCACCAAAAAGTTGACAGGGTTATTTTGGGAAGATAAGACTTAAGGCATTCAATTAAAAGTACAACCCCCCCCAAAAAAAAAAAAAGAAAAGTATTAATGGGTTCAAATAAAATTAAATGTTCACTTATCTGTATTGGTGTAATTTGATATCTTTTTATAGGTGTGTGATTTTTCACTTAATGGGTGTTATTACTGAAGTGGTATGGCGTTTGTGTGTTCAAGTGTTTCTGTTTGTATATGTGTATATGATTTAATCTGGTTTTTATTTGGGTGGGATTTGGTATATGTTGTGGATCACTGTTTATATTTGTATTTAAGTAACAGAGTAGATATTTATTTGAGTGGTTGCATTTCCCCATTATTTCATTTTTTTTTGTTTAATAGTTTGCTTTGGTTTTTAAAGGTAACTATTTTTCATTTTTTTTCTAGGCATAGTGTGCAGTTTCTGTTATTGCTATTACGTGAGGCTGCTCTTTTTATGATTTCCCATTTGATTTTCATAGTGATGTTATTTTCTTTTTATCTCCATATGTATTTTGATGATAAACATCATCAAATAACAGATGATGACTTAAACATTATTAAACACTGTAGAAAGTCCATATTATTCCACAAAAACAAAATATGGTTGGAAAAATGCAACACCAACAATAACAATTACCACTTTGACATAACAATGGGCAACTACTATGGTGTAGAGATAGGCACATTAATAGGCATATATATATATATATATATCATCAACAAATAGCAAGTATTATAAACAAAGAAAATATAGGCCTATACAGAGATGACGGATTAATAATCCTAAGAAACTGTAATGGCAGAACCATGAAAAAAATAAGAAAACAAATCATAAAGACCTTCAACACTCTAGGATTCACAATAGACATAAAAACAGACACACATAAGTCAAACACCTAACCACCATGTAAAGAAAAATAAGCAGACATACACACCAGCACAATAAAATAGGTCAACTCAATATAGTAAAAAGAACCAATTGCACATAAAGCAATTAAGTAAAATATAGTCAAAAAGAGATCACCACCATAAAAAAGAAACAAACATGAAGAAACAACAAACCACTTAAGTAATAACAAAAACACCCATTAAATGAAAACCACACACCTATAAAAAGATATCAAATTACAGCAAGCCACACAGAAATACTGCAAAATTAAGAAATAGCAGCAGAGAAGACAAAGCTCTAAAAAGTGAACATGTTATCTTGATGGGCTCATGAAACTACATAGTAGGCATGACAGAACTTCTCCAAATTAATGCTCTATCCCAACTTTTTGATATTGAGCACTTTATGACAAAAATCTGCCTTCCCAAATGGTGTTTCCACCTGGAAAAAGAACCAGCAATTCTAGTACTTAATACTATATATATATATATATATATATATATATATATATATATATTAGTATCCACCCATCAAGTGTCTTGATAGTGGATTTGAATTCATTTAAATCATATATATGAAAAATATGATTTCTGTAAATAACTTTTATTTTACTATTAAACTCTTTGATAAGTGGATGATATTTCTGTAAAAATTAGGATAGGAACAGATAAACATTTAATTTTATTTGTTACCACATCAGATTTTAGACAGATTAATTCGACAAAGATAAAAAAAATACTTCTATAATTTTTGTGAGTTACCATAAAAACTGCATTTTTAAATACTAAATTGAAATTTATCCAAATTTAGCATTGTAGACCAGCATTTCAGTTTACAATGAAAATTTAATCTTTAGGTAAAATATTGAGACACCTTGACCATGATAATTCAAACTCTGAGATAATCAGAATTGATTTTGCACTAATGCCCTTAGAAAAAACAAGAACAAGACTGACACTGAAAAGAATTTTCATACATACAGTAGTTGTATAAATTTTCTTACCTTCATGCTAAAAAAGGTATCTGAAGGAGTTTCTGTAATGGTAAAAATTGCTTGATAGAGTGCAGGACTTCGTTTTGCAGGAATGTCTTCTTGCCAGGCTATTGAATCTGAAACTCTACAAAAAGAAAACAAGTTAGGTAGCAGTGAGATTCATCAACTTGACATCAGAATTTGTGCAAACAGAAAGTATATATTTTACTACTTTTAATACCCTAGATTTTGGATAATGATCTGGTAAGAGATTGTATAAAACAGAAAGCAAAAGATGATGATACTAATAAATGGAGAAACATCAGAGGTGTGTGTCGAGTGGATTGTTCTTTTTTAGTTTAAATCTAAATACTTGGGAACATCTAAGTAGATTGGGTTGTATCATGCACATGTTCTATCATACTCTTATCAGATTGGTTGTCATGATCTCGGTATATTAGGCTTTGTATATTTATACCTCAGCGATAATTTATTGGCGGGCTGTTCTATCAATGGTGATAATAATGAAAAAATTATAGCTTGAAAGTAAGGAATACATAACTAATATAAAATATTTTGTTTAAATAATTAAATGTAAAAGCAAGGGAAATAATATATATATAAAACAATAAGAGTTATTTCCCATGTAAAAAAATTACCATTTAAACCTTGGTGGTCTCATCAATTACCTTTTCAATTCCATTCGATTATTTACAGCCAGAGCCGGATTTAGATGAAGAGAGGCCCTAGGCTATTCCACTTGTGAGGCTCCTCTAAATTCCTCAATCGCACGATTAGCGGAAAATGAAAGTGTCCTAAATTAAATAATTTGAGTAAAGCCGAGAATGATGACAGGTGTTTAAAATTACTGAAGTTTTATTTAGAGTTTATAATGTGTTATGGCAGCATGTGTAAGAAAGGCCTAAATGTCAAAAATATTATACACCTTGGTTGGAGGTCCCCTAGACTTTGAGACCCTAGGCTTCAGCCTGCTAAGCCTACAGCTTCATTTAAAAAAAACATTTAACATTTAATGTTTCACTAAAAGCATAACAGATTTTTTAACTGCCTATTGATCTGAAATTTGAATTTGATTAGTTTTTTTAAAAAGATAATTTTTAAAAAAATTTAAAACTATCATAAATAAATTGTGACATTGTCACAATATCTTATGTTGAGTATATAAGTGTAGGTCAGGGGATCTACTATGAAATTCTTTGTATGATCATCATAGTAGCTTGAAATGGTGCTTGGTGACTGTTATTGTTTAGATGCGGACCAAGTCAGTTGCATTGTTATGTTCATTTCATGGCTTTCTTTACTAAAGTTAGTCTGTTTCTGCCTCTTAACGAAATTAAATTAAATGTCTTTTCACCAGGGAAGGTTTCTATCTCATGGTATTAACAGGACAAGTGCATATAGTTTCAATTAACTGCATTTATTGTCAGAAAATTTTAACCAATTACTTGTTAGTGAAGGAAAGAGATTGACAGCCCTATCGCAAAATGACACTTTAAGTGCAACTATTCAACAATGCTATCAAATCACTGAAGCTTGTTTTATTCAACTCTACCATTTATTTGTTTATTTTTCTTCTGCTGAGGATTTTCACATGTCGATGAATCTTCTGAACTCTAAAGTATCAAATATTTATTGATTGTATTTCAGAATTACAATCTATTTCCAACATGTGTGCCATTTGTTAGATTTTTTTTATTTCCAACTAGTTACAAAATGAATCCATTTTTCCATTTCTAACCTCAGTCATTAAACTTAGACACATATAACCATAATTTTACAAATTGTCTAAGAGTGTGTATATGTTTATATGAAATATTTAACCTAAACTAGGATGTCTTTATTTGAAAATACTTTTACTAAAAATATGGTAACAGTAAATTTTGAAAACCTTTATAAAAGATAAGTATCATGATTCATTCACAAAAAAGTTGATGTTACATTAGAATTTTCATAGAATTATACCTTACATTTTGCAGGTAATAATAGACTTAATAATTTTACTTTTCATCCTTACAAAATGAAGTGTGTATAATATATTTATCTATATAAGAAGTTGCTGGCTCAGAAAGAATTTTTACAACTGTCCAACCAACATAACATTAGGATTTATTAGTTGAACATTAACAAAGCCTTTAAATATATGAACAGTTTTTTTGTGTCCAAAAATATTCTAAAAGGCATGCAATGATTAATCTATGGTGTAAACAAAGTAAGTTTATTTTTTTCCAGTCACAAGTTACATATTTTTATCCTTCTCTTTTTACGAAGACACTTTTGAACATGAGCAACATTTCAAAGACTGATTGTTTTTTTACAGCTTATCAATCTTTTGTGGATTATTTAAAGCCAGAAAATATTTTTTTAATTGTAAGAATTTTATGGAGATAGTACAATTGCTGATACAAGTCCTGCTATTTAACCCATAGCTGGGGGAAGAAGAGATGGATTCATACCTTTCCCAAAGATAGTTGTGTGCAAGTGAATATAATGACCTCAACTGGAATTGGAACTCAGTTGTCTGATTTCCAATTGTTTACAGTTATCATTACACCACCCACACATCCAACCTTACAGCACCCAGTATTCTCATGTGGTCACCTATCTAGGTTTGACATTGTTTAACTTTGGTGATTAGATGAGAACTAGTTTTTCAACATGATATGTCCATAAGACCAACATTTCAAAAAGTAAGACTGAACAGTGGATGAACTTAACACTTTTGCTAGAGACATAAATTTAATTAATATGGAAATGAGTGAAAAAAAAAAAATTATTTACTTTTAATCATTTCACCCCAATCAAGGTGATCATGCCACTGGGAGACAAGAAGTTTTACTGGGAGTGAAAGAGAATGAGAAGACTTTAGTGAGGAGAAAGGACAATAAAAGAACAGGATTCAGAAAGACAGATTACAATTAGCCATGCAAGAAACTCTTCTAGAATAGAACATACGGCTGTATCTAGGTAGTTCAATAGTAAAATGGTGAGATAAAGTAGCAATGCTGAAATTCATGTAGTCAAGGCACCAAGGAGGAAAGCTCAGCAAAATAATTGTCATGAAAATATTTGTAAAAAAAGACAGAAGGAAGCCATATTATGTTGATGAGAAAGTGACTGAAGTTGAGATGCCAGCTCAGGATCAATTACATTACATACCCTTTGAAGTTTATCTAGAATATTCTTAAAAAAAAAAAAAAAAAAAATGCCTTTTGTAAAAGAACTTTCATCAAAATATGATAATTGGTATTTATAAGAGACATCAGAGAAAAAATAAAGACTTGTTAAAAATGTATAAGCAATGAAAATCAAAAGTTACTTAGCAAAAAGAATGATTCACCAATAGTTTGATCCTACTAAAGAATACTGAATCAGGTGACTGAAGTGCATTGTAGCTTTTAGAAACTCAACAAACATCCACAATAAACACAGAACACCTTTGAGAAAAGAGTTTGTTGTCAAAAATTCTAGGAAATAAGCCAAATATAAGTTCTTGTCTTAGAGTTCACTGAGAGATTAAGCAAAAGATTTTTGAAAAGATTCTTGACAAAATTAGGGACATTGGTTCACTTTGAATGAAGTCAGTGTCATCATGAGGAGTCATGACGGTTCATAAATTAGTATAAAGAGGGAAATTTGGCAGTTACCTCTTTATAGAGACTTTGCTGACATCAATTGTCTTGAGAATTTTAGTGACTAGAATGAAGGAAATCAACTAAAATAATACTTGTTGGACACAAAAGAGTGTAAATAAATGATTCACCCTTTAAGATTTCATAGAAGTTTGGTGTGAATACACTAGAGCAGCATTTCTGAAACTTTTTTTTTTTTACTTTGGAGTGCACTTGTAGAATAATTAAAACTCTGAGGTGCACTTTAAATTTTAACAAGAAGAAATTAGTCATAAAAATTTGAAAATAGGGAAATAATAAAAAAATATCTCCTGAAATAAGCATTTATTTTTAAGACATTATATTGTATATTTAAGGATGCTTATGTGAAAACTGTGCTTGATTTGCTTATTTACAAGTCTACCATTTGTACTTGTTTTGAATACTGTTGCCACATCTGGTTTGCTGCTTCTACAATATATTTAGAGATTCTTGATCTGCAATGTTATTTGTCCTGACCTGGCATCTTGGCTTCAATCATCTTTCAACTGCTATAACATAGCTACCCTGTGCCTTTTCTATAAATACTTTCATAGTACTTGTTCTGGTGAACTTTCCTCTATGCTACCTAGACTTTATTAATTTAAGTACAATACTAGATTGGCAGCAAGGTCTCATTATTTTGCAGTTGAAATGGCTAAATGTAACCATAAGTTTTATGCTAACTATTTTTTCTCATGCACTTCTTGCTTGTGGAACTCTCTTCTGGTTTTTTGCTTCACAGTCAAATTTGATCTTCAAAAATTTAAATGCAATGCCAATCATTATCTTCTGTCTTCTTAATTCTTATTTTATTGTTCTTTCACCTTAGTAGTGTTTTTTTTCTCATATTCTCTAACATTCAGCAACCCCTTGTGTCTTAGTGGCTTTATTGTCTTGCTTGGGTGAAATGATTAAATAAATAGAAAGGAAAATATATAAAAAAAAAGCTTAATCATTTGATTAGAAATGAATAAAGTTCAAACGTCTTCTAATAATTATTTCCATTGCTTTTCAAAATACAAATCTTTTTTATAAGTAATAATATCTTCAGTTTTCATAATAAATTTAAAACAACAATAATATTTACTCAAGGAATATATTCTTCTGTAAATGAATTTGAACTCTTAATATTTGAAGTAGCTGAATTTTTTTCCTTGATTAAAACATGGCTCACAGAATATCCCATAATAAAAATATAAATAAATACAAGAGCACAATTATTCCTCTGACTGATTGCTGGAGGCACACCAGCAAAGTTTTTTTTATGGCATTTCTTGGGATATTGGAGTTACTTGGCAGCATTTATCTTCTCTTCAAGTAACATGTGATAACTTGTACTGGGTTACAAGAAATCAACAGCTAAGAGTAATCTCTGACCAAATTTCAGAATAAATACAGCCATTTGCAAAATAAGGTTCACACAGTGGTACTAGTTTAACTACTTTCTTGGGTAGGGTTTACTAATGAACAAAATTAAGATTAAATGAAAACACAGTTTACTCACTTGTCTAAAAATTCTTTGGAGAAATCTAAAACATAAATGTTCCAGTTTTCTTCCAATTGTTCATCTAGATAAACATCTCCATGAAGGCCTGCAATGAAAAACAAATCAAATAAAAGTCAAAGTTACTGTAAATGTAAAAATAAGCTGCCTTTAAATTGAAAGAAAATAAATATAAAATGTTTTAAGATGTAAAAGTATAATATTCTATGGTAAGAAAAACAATATTCACAGAAAATATTGAACTGGGGTTAAGAGAAAATATTCAAGAAATATTGATAAAGATGCTGGAAAAAATGATATCACTCCAGGAAGTGCATGACTCCTTCTCCTATGCTTTATCTTTACAAGAGTCAGATTAGACCAAAAATGGTGAACTGTGGCCAAATCTGGATTGAAGCTTTCCAGCCTTGGCATAATTCAGAATTGTTTATGCAGCCTCATAAGAGGCTTATTTTACACTCTGCAGCCTCTTTCTGCACAGATGCAATGCTGAAAGTCTATCAATTACTATGCTACTACATAGCAAATGTTCAGATGAGCTCCATTCTATAGTTCCACTGGTTCAGACCTTTGCAACTACGACACACCATGCTACTTCCACAGAGTCAAATCCTCCTCATTTCCTCCATATTCCAAACGTAAGGGAAAAGTTCCACACAAAAAGAACTGCTACTTTGTGGAACAGACTCTTGCATGGATAATTCCCTAAACACATCAATCTTAAATTCTTCAATTCAAGAGTCAATTGTTATCCTCATAGTCTTCACTTCCTACCACCTCCTCTTTCATTCATCATACACACCTTATTCATTGTAACTATTTTAACAGTAACTTTATGTTGTCTAAACATTAAACAATTTAGTAGGTGATGCAAATGAACTATGACATGTCAATGAGTTTTTGTACTTTGAAGTCTAAAACAAATCTGTTTATGCACAATAAAATGAAACTTATGTAGAAAAGTTGAAAACTACAATCATATTTAATAATCTTACCTTTAAATTGGCTGTTCACAACTTCTCGTTCTCCAAATCGGACAAAATTTACTCGACCCAAATTCTCCACTAAAATTCCAAGGTTCATATCAGCAGACAGAAGATTCTATGAAAATATTTTTTGGAAAGTAATTTGAAAAGAATCAAATTAAATACTTCAAAAATGAATTATAAAAATGGTTGTGAACAAAACTTGAATTCCCTTATGAAATAGGATCATTTTAGCCAGCTTGATTTCTTGTTCTCTATAATTTGGAGTGGACTGAAACGATCATTTCTATTCCCAAATATATACACTTCTGCTACATCTAAATGCGGTTCCTTTTCCCCTCAGGGCAATACCATATTTGGGAATAAATTCATGGTGACGTTATTGACAAATTCTACTATGAATTCTTCTTCTCTCTATATATATATATATATATATATATATATATATATATATATTTGAAATTTGCTATATTTATAGGAAAATGGTTGGTCAAAATCATAAGGTGTTTATAGATAGTGTGGAGATACTGCATGGTAATTGTCAGTTTCATACTTCACTATGATCTTAAGACCTAAAAGATTGAAGTGTGAAACTGACATTCACCATGCAATGTTGATTCCTATGTGTATACTGAGAATATCTACTTATATATTTATTTTATAATATATATAATATTTAAATATAAGAACATTTATGTTTCCTGAGTATTTTTGCTGGATGAAATGTATCTTAAATTAGGTTTGAAACTATATAATTGTAAATTTAATTAAAAATATTGAAATAATGATTACAAAATTAATGTGAAGGAATGAAACAATCATAATATTTCCAAAAGAAGTTAAAAATTTCATTGCTTTTTATTTTGGTTTGTTTTTGCCATGATGTTTTGGTAAAAGCATTCTTTGATTTTTTTCAATTGCACAATCTGTAGAGATCTTGCTGAAACATTGTAGTAATACCAAAATGAATCAGATTCAGAAAACTCTTCTACTGATAACAACTTTGCTTAATTGGAATATATTTGTGCTCAACAACTGATTAGCACATATGAAACTGTCTTGGCCACAAGCCAATTTCTCTTCTTTATAAATATAGTGACCCAGAATTCTATATTATATGACTATAGTGTTCAAGTCAAGAGTGTAATATTTCAAATGAGTGGGCATCTGAGATTTGGTTACAAAATTTAATAAATATGACTGATGCTCTGAGAGTTCTGCCTTCTACTTATTTCCATAGAAACTATGGCAAATACATGGAGCATAATAACACTGTTGGATAGAGCAAGTTTTCTAGTTAAAAAAAAAAAAAAATTTTTTCTATAGTCACCATACCTGGTTATATATCTTCACAAGCATAGGCCAATGATACACTGCTGCTTCATATACACTTTCATATCAGATGCTATTTTGCCACATTACCACTACTATCTGTAGTATGTCAAAATATATAGGTTATTGGCAGAAAGATTTAACTTCTACAATACCACCAATATACACTACTTATTTCATGTGATAACATAAAATAGATGTAATTACTTTTGGAGTCCTGTACATTGAATGTTTGCCAGGAAATATTTCCATTTACATGTAAAATGACAGTGATATATTTATACATTTATTGAAACTTAAGTTTCCAATTTATTTTTCTAGTGTTTCTCAAACAACAGCTTTCTTTCTAAATGAGTTTTCATCTCTGGCCTGTTTGGTAAATTCACTTCCTTTGTAAATAATCAAAATCTGGTTACAGATAAACTCATTCCTTTAACAACGTCTTATAAAATCAATCATTGTACTATATTGGTAGAAGTGAGAATCTATAACTCTGTGTTTGGTTTTTCATATGTTGACAATATTGGTTTTCATGATTATTCGTCATGTATATGTGTGAAGACACTTGTATTCAACAAAAGCATCAATTACTACAGATTGTCAATTCATACAAATAAATATCATTATTTGTTCTTATCATATACAACAATTCATATTAGACTTTTTTTCTGCATTCCATCAGCATGGATGATGCTAACCTCCAAATAGTAACTCATTGCACTTTATTGATCCAATGTTTTTCATTGAATTGAAATGGAATGAGAAATCTGAAAGGAAAGTTGGTTCACTATTTCACATTAGACAGTTTTTCTCACCAGAATCTATCTAGCACCTTCATGATTCTACAAGAAAAATCCTAAAGAAGAATCTGCAATGTTATTGGTCCTAACATATCATCTCAGCTTCAACAACTTTCCCACTGCTGTAATGTGGCTTCCCTGTACCTTTTCTATAAACATTTTCATGGCAATTATTCTAATGAGCTATCCTCTTTGGTACCTCAACTTCATGAATTTAGGTGAGGTACTAGATTGGCAGGTAGGTCTCATCGTTTTAATTTTGAAATAGCAAGATGTAACCATAAGTTCTATTCTAATAGTTTCTTTTTTTACACTTCTTGCCAATCTTCTTGCTTTTCTGTCAACTACAATCTTCAAAATTTAAATGTAACACCAATCACCATCTTCTGTTTTCCTAAATCCAGTTCTTTTGCCGTCCTTTCTATTCAATAATGTTTTCTATTTCTTTCACTCTTAATAACCTCTTGTGTCTTAGTGGTTTTATTGCCTTGAGGCAAAGTGATGAAAAACAAACTTTCATGTGAGATCTTTTTAAAATTGTTTTTTCTTTTTTAAAACAAGTTTATATAAATAACACATACACACCAGGGTTGATCAATGAGTTCATAGCCTGATACTTAGCAGCAGAATTTTAACTGTATAAAGTCTGGTCTGTGTAACTTATACTTAGAGGGAGAAGATCTCTTTTCAATTGATCCACAGTTTCACCACATTATCTGTTGCTGATATGGTCTCTTTAGCAAGTAGGCTTTTTACAAGGTGCAATTGCCAACTCCATGCATGACTGATTTTGAACTCACAGTTATTCTTTTCTTAAACTAGTTGCTAACCAAGATTAGAAATCCCAGTCTGCTCTGCTATTTAACCTAAAGCTAGTGGGAGAAGAAATTCATATCTTACAAAGAAAGAGATTATGTTCTTAGGCACAATATATGCTTCTTTTTTTATCATTATAAATATATATATATATATGGGAAAATTATATATAAATTTTGATATAGCAGGCATAGGAAAATTAATGAAAAAGCATAAAAAAAAATTGTGTCACTTTATTGAAGTGGTGCTCACATTGATGTAATTACACATGTGCACAATGTGGTGGTGGGGGGGCACTAGAATTTAAATCTTTTGAATTTAAATTATATATATATATATACGTATGTGTGTGTGTGCATGCATATTTTTTTATGTAATGACAGAGGTCACTAGCAAAAACAAAGGTAAGAATTTTCCTCATTAACATATATTTTTCCATGATGAAAAGTTCCTGGCCCAAACCATTTCTATAAATTAACCAGATGAGCAAATGTCAGAATTTTGAAGGGAAGAGATTTTTTGTCAAATCAAGAAATTTTCAGCACTCCCTTGTGTGTGTGTGTGTATATTTTACAAGAATAGTGAATTCTTGACCTTTTAAAAATTAAACAGCTCAAAGCTGTATTTTCTTGCTAAAAACCTTCTTAAACACTAATTTCTTTAGAATTATGATTTGACATCGGAAAATATTCTTTAATTAAAGACTAGCATGCAGTAAATAAAATAGAATTCATTTGCTGCAAGAAATATTTTAAATGTTCTAAAACCTTTGTTGCTTGTTTTTTTTATTTTCAACTTTAGAATGAAATTTAATTAATATTAGAGATGAGTGAAAAGTGCAATATGATTTGATTGAATAATTACCTGAGGAAATATAACGTTTTGGTCACTTTTTTTCCAGTCAACTGTTGCAATGATTTCAGAGTTAATCAATATCTGAAAAGACAAGTAAAAAGACATTGATATTTGTCATGGATTGAATATAAAAAAAAAAAAAATTCAACAATTCATTCTCTAGCCTCCTTACTTATATATATATATATATATATATATATATATATATATATTACATTATATTATATTATATATATATTACTATATAACATTTATAGTAATAAGAAATAATATTGGATTAAGAAGAACATTAATTGCTTAAAAATTACTTTGTTTCAGATACAAAAATAAAGTTAGCAGATATAGATTTCAAAGTGTCCTAAAGAAAATGTGGTAATTGAGCCTTGCTTTGTTATGATGGCTTCTTGCATCTTGTTAAGGCTTGCTTGGCTTAAAAAATGGTTTCTGTGATAGAAAAAAAAAATATAAAAGACAAAAAAGCTTTAAGTCAAACCAAAAGTGTTTTAAATAATATTTTATCCTCATTCAAGAATTCTACTATTTAAAACAAGGATGTCTATTAAACATAGTATTGTTTGAATTTGAGAACTTGTATAGCAAAAACTATATATATATAAATTGGTGGATAAATATATAAATATAAATAAATATATATAAATATATATTCTGTCAGGATATATATATATATAAATATTTTCATATATATATTAAGAGAGTGTGTGTGGATGAAGTTTTTATTTTTTCAATGTGGGTGAAGATAATTGTCAATTCCAATAAAAAATCTTTTGTGTCCATTTCTAATTTTAGTCATCTTATCATTTTTTATGATTTATAAGCATAAACAAATAGATGTTTAAATGTAATTCAAGGCTACATGATCCCCAGATTTTTTTTTTGCAAACCTAAGAAGGTTCCAAAAAGATTGTGTAGCCAAACTATTCTATCATGCATATCATTGAAAAGGTTTAACATCTTAGTTAAGAAATTAAGATTGTTGATTTATTAGGCATAAGACAATATCTAAGAATTTCAATATGGCTAATTTTAGTTCAAAATATAATAACCTGAAGATCGAGATAAACACAAAGTTTGTGAACAAGAAAAGTGGATAAAAGAAGAAAACATTCACAACAGGATGAGCAGATGTTAATTAGAATGGTCAACAATTATCCTAAGAACTGCAGTGAGGAAAAACAGTTTGACAGTTATCAGAGTTCATGCTTCAAGATCAATGGTTACTCAAACTATCAATCGAGATGGCTTGAAGGCATGCCATCTCTGGAAGATTGTCATTGATGAAGAAGAAGCACTTAATTGCCTGTCTGAATTTGTAATCTTTCAAAGAAGTTTGGCTCCAGGTAGGCACTTCTGTGTCGTAAAAAAGATGAAAAAAACAAACTTAGTTATTTGGATACAATGATAAGACTCCCATTTGGAAGAAAAGAAGAGAAGCCAACAATCCAAAGAATACCATCCCTAACAGCAAACATGGTAGAAGCAGCATAATGCATTGGAGCTGTTTTTCTAAAATTGATTCAAATAGAAGGAATGATGGAAAAAGTATTATCACTATATTTTGAACAAATCCTGAAGTCACTGGCAAAGCAACTGGGATTAGGATGCCATTGAACTTTCATGTAGGACAATGATCCCAAGTATATTTTACTTTTAATCCAAAAGTGGTTGAAAGAAAACAAGAAAGATATACTTCCATAGCCAGCTCAGTCTTAACTTAAACCTGATAGAAAATTTATGACAGGAAATGAAGAAAAGAGTGAAAGCAAGAAGGCCATCTAATGTGAAGTAGCTGGAAGAATATGTGGTTGAAGAATAGGTTAAAATTCCTTCTGATCTGTACCTGAAGGTAATTGAAAACTACATTTTTCATAAACATTTTACATAATAATTGTGTGCATGAGTACATATAGTATACTATAAAATTATAATAATTATATATATATATATATATATATATATATATATATATATTCTAAGAAGATATCTTAGATATGCCATCACTCCATTGAGAGACGAACCCATTGGTAATCCAAATTTTTGTTTGTAAAAATCATCATTAAATGTGAAATAGCATTGATTGGTGATGAGACAGCAGATTTTTATTATTTTAGCTGTTGGTAGGTAAGGTTTAATTTTAATAGTGGTAGATGCTTTTTTTTAAGAGATTTTAGCATGAAGAGGAGAAATACATTGAGAATACTTTCAGACTTCTCCAGTATGCTAATTATTTTATATTAAATGTAAAACAAAAGGCCCATAAAATATTCCATATATATATATGTGTGTGTGTGTGTGTAGTAGCTCTATTCTATCTTGCAATAATGTCTGTCTGTATCACTTTCTGCTTATTGTTGATCTATTTTCCAGATTTTCAATACTGAGAAAATAAACTGAAACTTGCTAAAAGTTTTTAATCATCAATTTTTTTTAACTTAGAAATTAACTCCAGGGAAGCATAACACAGTGAAATACATGCACAAAATGTGGATATAAGAGAGTTGTCAGACCAGAATTAAGTCTTTATCCGGTTACACTGTAGTAATGAAATTTTCCAGAAGGGATAAAAGGAAAAAAACAAATTTGATCAGATATTTATTTTTATTTTCTTTATCTGTGAATTGCCTGATGAAATTAGTGGAGTGATTTCTCATTGCCTTCTGCAATTCAGACTGGCTGATATCCATGACTATAGAGCCCAATATACCCTGCTATTTAATTCATTGCTAGGGGTTTCTACTCTTAAGATGAAAGGAAAGCTTATCAGAAATTAATATATAATAAATTTGTATAATCTTAGATTATCAAGTCTACTGCTTTTTTCATTTTAAAATGCCATATCCTTTCAGGAGGTAGGCGATCACACCTTTCAAAAGATTCCTTTTCTTCATTATTTGTGAATTTCCAGGAGTTCTTGGGAAAGATACAGGAATGGATGCCTGTTGACTTCTCCATGGTTCTGAATTCAGAGGTGTACTTCTTCTAGACTGGTTGCCACCCAAGTCTCGAGAACACAGTCTACTCAACTCATAACTTGGAGTGGGATGGAGAAAAGATGGATTCAGGTCTTTGCTCATATATATTGAGTTCATATGTTACAGTAACCTCTGCCCTTTCTTCTTGATTCCAATCTATCTGGAATGACAGCAACACTTTTTCACCTCTCCAATTTATAGGTAGAAACAGACAAATGCATGCTGGGATTTTTTTCTAATCAATAAAACAGGCTGGCTCTTGGTTTCATATGACTCAGTTCCAGTGTGTCTTGTCTTGAAGTCAGAATGCTACATTTGCTTGTCCGAACATGCTCATGTGTCAACCCTAATTCTTAGTTTGTGAATTTTTGCCATATTACTGTTATTTTGCCTTGATTATATTGTTTGCTTGTTTTATATTATTTTTTGCTTTGTTCTTTTCTTTCTTTTTTTAGTCGCTTATTGCAAACTTTGTCAATTCTGTTTGTTGGGCATTTCTGCCATTTATTTACATTTAACCATGGCCAGTCACTTTACATTTCTCTTAATAAAAACAAAGAACTTTTGATGAGCCTATCTTGGAGGAATTTTTACTGAAAATATAAACTATAGATGCACTTATGACAAATGTAAATGCATAAAATCAAATCCTATAAGAGTTGCTACCAAATCTATTTTCTGTATTGATGTATCTACAGAATTCAGTGTCCATGTGATCTGATGCCTTTAGTTGATTTTATATCTCAGTCTATACATATTTCATGACAGCAAAGGCTTCTTGAAAGAAGATAAATTAACTGCTATTAAGTCCTATGGAATATTCTGAAGTGATGTCTTCCTATTCAGTGGAGACCAGGCAAAATTCTACTCAAACAAATGAATGTTATTGAATAGTTGATGCTGTCAGAATGATATCACGTATTATGCTAGTGCTATTATAGCTTCAGTACATAAGAAATTAATATACATACACATCCTCCCTATTAGCCCGGGAAGGTTGTAAGACCAATATGCATTTTTATTCCAACGATCATTTCGTACCAATCGATTCAATCTTCATGTAATGTATTTATTATAGGTCAGCCTATATTCTGTCTGATTATGAAGATTCTCAATTATGTGGAACAGTTGACCGATTCAATTTTGTCAATAATTTTTTTTTATTTTTTTATTTTGTCAAAACATTTAATCAAACAACCAGGATAATACTTTATCACTTTTGATTTAAGGGACATTTGCTAATTTAAACTAAAGGGGAACTCATTCTGATTCCTTAAAACTTAGTCAAAGGTTTAATCCACTGTTGTCACATTCTATTTTGTGGTCGGTTTAATAGATGTATTATCTTTATTTTTTTATGCCAGATGTATTATTGTTCACTTAAATATACATCTTTCGTAACAGATTTACTGTTTAAGTAAGAATGGATTGAAAAAGTGCTTTGAATTATTCAGTAAGTTCATTGTAGCATCCGTTCAGTATAATGTTCAGATGCTTTTTCATTCATGAACTGGTTTTAAAAACCTATTGAAAAGAGAATTTAGAGTCTTGTCTACGTCTTTCTGCTGAAAGGTGAAAATCGACCCCACCTCAAGCTCATTTTTTTATGCAGGATAATGGTCCCTGTCACAAATCAAAATTGATGAAGGAATACTTGATGAGAAGCAGGTTATGACATGGCTGCCTAATCTCCTGACCCTCAATCCTATGAAAACTTTTTTGAGCATGTTGTTCAACTTCTTTTCGAGAGCCTGTACTTTAAATGCTCCATAAGTTTTCAATTTAATATTAAATTAATATATATATATATATATATATATATAATGTTAATGTACCTTGATTATATTGTTTGTTTTATATTGTTTTTTGCCTTGTTCTTTTCCTTTTTTTGTTGTTTATTGCAAACTTTTGTCATTTCTGTTTTGTTTGTATTTTCACATATATATATATATATATATATATATATATATATATATATATATATATAAATAAATAACGAATGGTGTTTACAATGTGAGAGTAAATATTTAATTTGTATAATAATTTTTTTTAAATATTTTATTCAGTTGTTTGATGATTCAAATTTTATAAATTGATATATCAATAAAAAATTTGAATTAAAAGTAGACAGAAGAAGACAGTAGAAAGAAGCAATGTTTTTATTGATAAAGTTTTTTTAATACATCTTGTTTGTTTAGAAGGAATTTATATCTATCTTCTCAAAATTCAGTTGTAATTTAGCGGAAAATTATCAGTCTTTACATTTAAAGAAAATGTAAAATAAATATAATCTTGGCTTTAAAAATAAGTTTTTTCATTGCTAACCGTAATTTTAAATTTTTTTATAGAATTCTAAATTTTAGGCTCATCAGTGTTAGTTACAATTTTATTTCTTGTAGTGTCCATAGTAACCATTGTTGTTATCTGCCATTTCACATTACTATAACTTATTTGAATGAACTGAAAAAATTTAAATATCAAAATAATCTGTTTACTTAAAATAGCAAATTTGCTGAATTTGTTTTTACTATTAATATAAACAGAAAATTATCCTAATATTCTCATGTAGCGAAGTACATAGTAGGAAATTCAAATGGACTTAGCATAATAACACAAAGAATTTTAGAAACTAGTTGTCTCATTGAAAATGTTTTTTATACAAAAATTTTAGAGAGGTTAAGAGAATTACTGAGATAGCATTTTGGGCTGTTGAAGAAATAAATTAATTTCTAAAATGAGCTTAATAAGATTTACAAGAATTACTTAGAAAACTAGAATTACTAAAACTACAGTAACCATGTTACAAATTCTTTGGATTAGCTTCGTCTGGTACAAGCTCACTATAATAGAACACTTTGTGAGAACTGAACTCACTCACTCTTGTAAAAGTGGCTTACTAAATATTACTCTATGGTAGGTAGAATTGGTCAGGAAGTCTACAGAGTATAGATTATATCATTTTTAGATTCTAATAATGTGCCAAGCTTAGAAGTGCAAAGTTAATAATCCGAATAGATAAGTCTATAACATTGAACATATATTTATGTAACTACACAAAGGAAAATTGGATATCTCATGGATGCTTTGGCAAGTCTTCTATGGAGTCCTGATGCAGAGTAACAGAAACATAAAATAGTCTAAGAAACATTTTAAGAACTGTATTAAAAATATAGCCTGTATATTCTTTAAAAAGAAACCAAAAAGAGTGGATCCCCAGACTCAGAAGATGCTGAAATAGCTAATCATACATGCCAAAAAAAAACTGTTCCCACTGTATCTTTGCATGCACACATACACTCACACATAAACATTAAATACTTACATGTGCTCGATCACGTACATATCCTCCAATTTTCATACTTTTCACTTTCCCAACTGACTTTTCATAAAGAATATAGCCATAACTCTGTCCAGCATTGTTGTAGATGTTCAGTAATTCCATAGGGTCCATCTTTGCTTCTCTTATGCACTAAGAAAAAAAGAATGGAAACACTTTTATTTTCACAGTCAATAAAAGAAAAAATAAATTGAGTTGATTTCTGGGAACAAAGAAAAAATGTCTCAATTCATGAAGAGATCAATATTCAAATTTTGGCTCCTAAATTCAGATACTTTAATTTATTTTATTTAATTTTTCAAAATTATTTTGGAGGTCCAAGAGGGTATTTTTGTAGCTTTTTGACAACAAAATTCAAGGAGATATTGAATTAAAAAGATTTAGCATCATTGCTTTTGAAAAAAATATCGCTTATCGTCACTGGAGCCAAAATCAAGGCTGCAGTGGGCACAATAAGATGCTAAAATAATCTGACTTAATTTCATCTGGCTGAATAAAAGAGGCATGTGTTTGTTTGGATTTGAAACCAAATTGTGCATAGCATAGTTTTTGACCTTGGTGTGTTGTGATGTCAAATCATTAAAACATTCAATTATTCTAGAGTGTTGAAGTCAGTGTTCAGCAATAAAAAAGAAACTGTTTGCTGCTACAAGCTATTTTGGTACGCATAAGCAATGATATTTATTAATAACTTCTTTATTTCTCTCTAGACTTTCTATAATGTTAAATTTGAATGGAAATCAATTATAATTTCATAGTTTTGAGAGAATAACAATTCTCTAATCTGAAATAATGGATGGAAACAAACACATGTAATTTATTATGAAGATATTTATACATGAAAAATATATATTTATATACAAGATATTCATATATGGAGATTATGTATTTAATATATAAGATGTTTATATAACTTACATGAGTGATTATAACCAAATACTGCTAAACTGATAATTGTCATTAGGTTTTGTCAGTTAAACATTCACTTATGTTGTGACAATATGACTAAAGACCCTTATCTTGTTACAGGAGACACAATGATCTCTAGATAGACTTATAAGTGGATTCATTGGAAGGGATACTTATTTTTTTTGTTATAAAATAAAAAGGAAAGAAACAGAATTATGACCTATCAACCATTTGCAGAAAAATGTAGAATTTAGATTGTAAGAATTTTTTTGTGGAGAGATAATAATGATTTAGTGATACAAGTCTTACTAATTAACCCATAGCTTGGGGGAGAAGAAGTGGATTCATACCTTTTACCAAAGGTAATTCCATAAGTGAATATAAAAACCCAGTTGGGATTGAAAAAAAAAAAAAATCAAAAATTTTGAGCCATTATCTATTAATCATTACATATTTTTACAGCACCTGGTATTCCCAAGTGATCATAATTAAACTAGCAGTACTAACATGATAAAATTAAACCCAGAAAGAAACTGAGTAGGTTTTTTTTTTTTGGTTTTTTATATATGTAGAGATGAATAAAGAAGAAACTAATTAAGAGAATAAATTGATCTAGTGAAAGGTGTCTGTAGGGATTGATAGCAAAATAAACTTGCAGTTTACCAAATAGATTGTGCTCACCTGTGGGAGTTGGAAACATAAGTCAACAACTTGCCAGATGGCCAGTCCAAAGATAAAACAAGTCTTAGAAAACTAGTAAAATATTCCTATTCTTTGTCAAACAGAATTTGGTCAGTTGACCTAAATTAGCTGAGAGAATATTTTGATTATACAGAAAAACAGTGAGGGTTTGTTTGTGTTGCTTGGAGAATTGACATCACAGAAATTATCCTGGTCATCCATCAGAAGTATCTGTAATTTTCATTTCTTACTATATAACCCACATCTTCACCTGAACTGATACAGTTCTATCATGATTCTACCAGAATTGTCAGAAGAGTGCAGGTTTACAATGGTTGTTTCACAGATTGCTTACAGAATTGTCACAGAGTTTTGAGAGAATCAGAAGAAAGCCAAGTCAAAGTGTCATCAGGGGAATGCAGATAGTTGTGTTTTGTTTTTGTTTTTCTTTCACAGGAAGACCCTTGAGAAAGCAGGGACCACTTTGATTTTAGGTTACAGAGTAAGAAACACATTTTATATGGATTTAACCCTACACTTGAACAGATTAAGATTGTAGTGATTGGGGTAACATCCTCTTGGAACTCAGTTCCATAGAGTAGTGGTTCATGGGAAGAAGCTGCTCAAGTGGAACTTAGGTCTCACTGAAGGATTATGAAAGGAATGAGAGCATTTACTACAATGTGAGTGGCATGGTAGGTGAAACCAAGGAATGCAGTTTATCCAAACACTTTCCATGAAAGTAGTAATAGAGCACTGAGAGGCTTACCACACTTCGTCTGTGACAAGAGAGCATCAGAGAATTGGCACTTTTCAACAAGCATCATTATTAACAGAGAGGTAAAGAACAGAAATTAATACTGGAATAGAATAAAAGAAAAACATACATGCATTTACTTGAAGGAGAGTGAGGCAAGAGTGGATAAAACAGTTTGGTAGCCAGCCAAAGATGGTCATGATAATTACTTGACTTACATGCTTATCTTCTTGGATTTTTAAGAGCCAGATCAGGCTGGAAAATGGAGCACATGTGACATTTGGGCAGGAGCTGGCTCAGACCTCACTGATACAAGTCTTACTAATTAACCCATAGCTGTGGGGAGTGGATTCATACCTTTCCCAAGGGTATTTGCGTGTAAGTGAATATAACAATCACAACTGGAATTTGAACTCAGCTCTCAATTAACAATTCAAACCATTATCCATTATATTACCAGCACATCCAAGCTTACAGCATCTGGCATTTCTAAGTGGGTACTGATCAGGCTCAACATTGCTTAACTTTGGTGATCACATGGGAACCAATGTCAGGTTTGTTTGACGATTTTTCTATTTCCTCTTTCTTTCATATTAGCTTTTTTTCCTGAAGATAATTATTTGGAAATAGGACAACCATATTTTTCTCTGTTTTGATACAGGAAAACTATATTTTTTCTATGTTTAAATAATAAATAGGATTTATACAGTTTTCACAATGGATGTGTGTGTGTAATGTAGTGGCTATCATGGTAGAAAGTGGGAAAGGTATGCTGAGTTCAAATTCTAGCCCAGGCAGTTGCATTTGTTTTACCTAAATATCCTTGGAAATGGTATGAATGTATATCTTCTGTCCCAAGCTGGGGCTTGACAACAGATCAGACTGGATTCTTTTTGCCTTGTTTGCCAAACAGTCTCAGAGAAGGACAACTCTAAACTAGTTCTGTGTGGCACTAACAACTCTACCCTCTAAAAATCTACTTGCTACAGAAACCACAGTAGAAATGCCTACTTTGGTGAGGTTGTATTATATTCTATAGCATAGTCTACAGGACCTCCTCTTCCACCTGGATGTGTAGGTGGTGTAATGGATAGCAGCTTAGAATTTGAAATCAGAGAGCTAAGTGCATGATATTCACTTAATCCTTTGGGAAAGGTATGAATCTGTCTTTTCCTCCCAGCTATGGATTAAATAGTAGGACTTGTATCTGGAAACATTATTGTTATTCTCAAAAATAAAATTGTTAACTCAATATTCATTTGCAAAATAAATGATCAGAATTATTCTTACAATCCAAAATATGTTTTGGCTTTAAATAATCTTCAGAGGGTTGATAAACTGTAAAACACAAATCAATTAATCCTCCTCCTCCTCTTACTATACAGGGTGCTCAGTAAAAAAAATAAAATTCAGAAAGACTTGAGACAACCATTGAAAACTGGTGATGATTTGATGCTCAAAATCAGGGAGTTGTCTAGCTATACAAAAAAGAGGCAGAATGAAAGTTGTCTGCAACTTAAAAATAACCTTTAAATGATGAGCCACAAGATCGAGCAGCAATTAATCACTCATAAAAAAAACAATCAGAGGTAAGTAATTACACAAGAGTTGAATGATTATTCAAGGTCATGAATATTCAAGAAATTTATTCAAGGTCAATTATTCCTGAAAGATAAAACAGTGATGATAAATTTGCTGCTTTTTTTACCAAGTGTCCTGTACTACAGCAGAAGAAAAATCTCTGCTGGTATTTACTAAATACTATATTTTTGTTTAAATGGTTTTGAATTTGAGAAAATCAAAATTGCCAAAAAGTTGCTTTGTTCTTTTTTTTATCTTTCTGACTGACCTTAAAAGAACAATTTTACAACAATGATACTGTACTAGAATCCGGTTATATTTCAGAATTCTGAATAAGGAAATGAATAATTAAAAAAAAAAAAAATTCACTCAGAAGACTGAAGTATGATACTAGTTTTGCTTTCTGTCAAATAAAAGTTGCATTTTCCAACCTTCCTTCCATAGTGGTAGGATGTAAACACAAGGTTGGTTTATTGTTTAAACCATATTTCTATGTATAGGCCAAGGTTAAAAACTGCTCAGCCCTGTGGCCATTTTCACAGTGGTGTCAATATCACAAAACCCTCCTTTTTTAATGCAATTTGGAAGATGCTGCTACAAGGTTGGAATCTTTAGGACCTCGCCTCCTTATAGCATTTTAGTGTGTTGGCTCCTTTAATTAATTTATAAAGGTCTCTATGGGAAAATTTACATGAAATAGTATATGCACAAAATAACAGAGACTGATTGATCTACAATACAAAATAACATTTATTTTTTTGTAGCGGGCACTCCAAATTAACCCCAATCACAGAAAGGGGTGAACGAGGTCACAAGAGGCCCGCTGACATTTTTTGAAGACGTTAAATCTGACGGTGAAACAATATAGACGACAGAACGAGGATATGTATGATATATAGAGGTTTATTCTAAAAAAAAAAAGAAATGAAGATGGTTGGAAAGGTGGAGGTGCTGGAAGCTTGCAGGAGTGAGCTGGAAGCTGCAGGCATTGATGGTCGAGGTTGGTGTTGGTAGTTGCTAGGATCATTGTTGTTGGGAGGTTGAAATTATGATGTGGGTGGTTGCCAGGATGATCGCTTGGTGGTTGTTGAAGTTGAGTCGTTGCGGGGTGCCAACTTGTTGCTGTAGTTCGTGTTGCCTACTTGTTGTTTGTCATTGCCGGGATACCAACTTGACG